ACAAGGCTCTCCTGAGGAAAGGAGCTGAGTTTGGTGTGGGGGCCGGTCACCACAGCTGGTGGGGGGAAGATCACTGCTCTGGAGTCAGGGCATTGCTGCACACACGGCTCATTGTAGCTCTCAGCAATCGGCTGAGAGCAGGTCACCCCACAGGGTCTGCAGGACTCGCTGTAGCAAGACATCCTTCTTGTGATGGCTGTGAGTCTGCAATGCACAACAGGAATCAGGTTTTGGATGCAGAAATTTTCACCTGACTCTACATGCCTGTTCTTGCTTAAAGTCAGTGGAAATTGTGACAGCCTAGAGTTCATTACCTTGCAAAATATACCTACATCTGGTCACATAAACCAAATTCTAGACTCTGTTTACTGTAAAGATCCCCTAGATTTCATGCACAGATGCAGACATCTAGCGTCATGTATGATGAATCCCACACGATATCACTGCTTTTGCTTGCAGCATGATGACTCTAATTTATTAAGACCAGCTGAAAGAGACTAAAGTTTGGTAATGTATTTACAGCAAGTTAACAAAAGAAGTATCAGATATAGCCAGCTATTTCTATAGTTTCATATTCCTTCCCCAGTAGCACTCAACTTCCAAATAGGAATATTTGCCCTTATGGGGCAAATACTACCACAAGGTGGTAGTTACTATTATTGCTCTGATATTTTTAATTTTTATAATGCACATAGATCCTGAATTGGAACTAAATGCCTGGGAAATGGTTATTCAAAGTGGCATAGTAAAACTTGCCATTTTGTTCTAAGGATAACACCTTCTGACACCCACTGCTCTCTAACCTGCCAGTCCATAGCGTCATGTAGAACTTAGCATCAACAGAAAAACACTTGAGAAGGATAGAAGTTGAGCCAAATTGGACTTACCCTGTTCACCAAGGAGAATAAGCCAGGAGATGTGGATAGAGAGCCCTGGAGTAGAAGCAGCTTTTATACCTTTCTCAAACTGCTTACAGATATGAAACACCCTTTGTGCCTCAGGTCCTACATAGTAACAAAACAACCTTCACATTGAAGGATTTAATTTTGCTTGCTTTGCACTGCCACTCCCCACCTTCAAAAACTGGTGTGATACAACGTCAGTACCAACTTGTGCGTATTGGTCTGGTGAATGACAAGATCTTTTGGACATCTAATACCCAGCACCAGCATTGGGGTGTCTGCTATTTAGTTCCACTTTAAGTTTTAAGCTAATAAGTTTGATTTGTAGGGTAGGTGAGTAAGGATCAATTAAATTTATCTGTCTTTTAAGAATAGCGCCATTTAAGTGAATACTATGAAAATAAGTGCAAGCTGGATAAAAAGAGGGAGAGAGGTAATAGAAAGAGGGAGAATTTCAGGTATCTACATCTGATTTAGAAACATGGGGTTTTTAACATCTGTATTTGGAGATCAAATACCATTAATTACTCATGAATTATAAGGTGGATTCCATTGTTATTTTTACTGCTGTCTTTGAAATGTCATTGAGGCAGGGACACTTCAGAGATGTTCCAGATCCTCCTAGGAATGACAAAAGGCTTTACAAACACCTTCTAAAAATTCATATTTGATGTGTTGTACCATTATTATACACAAACATGCAACTATCAGCACACACATCTTGTGCAAGAGCATCGATTTAAAGATGTGTGAATGAAGTGCTCTGCGTCATTAGGTACAGCTTCATGCATAAGAGAGGGGGTCATTTAGAGGTGAAAGTAAGCGATCTGGAGAGTCAAAGACATCAGTTTAAGACCCCTAGTTTTTCAGAACATGGACAGATAGCCGGTTGAGCCTGAAAATTCAGGTAATTTTTAATGGGGCCCTCCTCCCCCCACTCCCCCCGAAGTTAAGGCAATAGACATTTCAGGCACATTAGCAAAGTACTGGCTCATAAAGGAAGATGAAGCTACTATCTGTAGCGTGGACATGTCATAATCTCCCCAAACATATTAATACTTAGTAAAATAAAGAACTTAATATCATGAATAAAAATCAAATGATTGCAAGCGTTGAAGTTCTAAATCACAGTCTGGTTAGGGAATCAAAAGGAGCGACATTGATTGGCATATTTTTAAACGATGCTGTTTCATAACAAGGGAGCTTCTAAATCCTGTCCTTCTTCATTTAATATGATAATAACAGAAATTGCAAGCACTAAGTATTAACGAGTATTTGTGAAGCACTTTAAAGTCATTATCTTCCAGGTGCCTTTCATTATTGTCAGCCAATCCTGATGACACTTCAAAAGCACAGCTAGCTTACGATTTAGAGGTAATTTATAGATTATCTTTTGCAATATTGTAAAATTAGAAAACAATAGATTTGCAAATAACTGTATGATGCCACAGACATTCCATTAAAATGTATCCTTGTAAATATCATTTTATTAATTTTCCACTTTTTCCTAAGTGGTCAGTATTTCAGGGGTGGAGAGGGGAAGAAAATTAGGATTGTTTTTAAATGTATTTCTAAATGAACTTCTAGAAATAGAGATTTCAAATGAAATTTTGAAATGTTTGGTATTAGCTTTAGACAGAGACCTGTCAACAGTTCTGGCTATATCAATAAGGCCTTTTCTGCCTCCTTGGAGGTGTCACTTAGCCCAGCCATTCCTCTGTTAACCTAGCGTCATCTGAATTGTCACAGAAGCCTTGAGAGAAGGATGTTGGGAGAGGTTTCAATGGACCGATGCTAGGTCCACTTGGGTTGTAGTTAATATTTCTAGTGATGATGGGACTGTATCATTCCCATATATTGTTTGACAGGTGCAGTAAATCAGACACAGATCTCCCTGCCTGGGGAGGTAGTTATAGGTAAAATGAAAAGCTTAGAGCACAAGCTAAAAACTTTGCCAGGGCTTACTGCTTTCATGCTGTTATTAACAATAGTGATATCCCATCAGGAGCGAGCCTGCATCATCTCAGCTTTTTGTCCTGCTGTATAACAACATTTATAGATCCCTAGCCAACTGCAAGGAGAACTTGTGTCCTCTCAGAGGTGAACGTCTAGCTCGTGTTGGATGACCTTTACCTGGTTTGTGTACGTGGCACCAAAAAAGGCTCCACACCATGTAAGTACTACCTTGAACATTAAAATGGAACTAATGTGACGCATGACCCTTGCTCTGGCTTTCAGTCAATCACTGTATGGCAACCCTTCAGCTGCAAGTTCCCCAAATCCCCTAAAATGACTATCACAGATAACTGATTGTCATCAGCATTTGTATCACACCCACACTAACATTTGGGAGGGACAGTGCTGAGGTGGCAAAATTAAAGCTCCCACTGTCATGTTTGTTTTGTAACAAATTAGGACCAGAAGCACGAAGGGTGGCTTAAAGAAGCATATAAAAGCTCGTATCACCCACAGTCCTTCTATCCACTTCTCTTGTCTCAGTCTCCGCAGTGAACAAGGTAAGTGTGGTTTCACTCATTCTTTCTAATATTGTTAGCATTTACTTTAACAATGCTTTTGTGACAGAGATGATTCCTGCATGTGTTTTTACAGACTTTGTTTCCTTCTGAAAATGTGTCTTTGTCCAGATGCAGCATCAGGAGTCACTGCATTAGGATAGGAAGTAGATCTCCAAGCTATAGAAATACCTGGGGTGACTTATACCTAATAAAGTCTGAATTAATACTTATAGTCAATGAGCCTTTTCTCCTGTTCCTGTTGGTTTCTTTTTCACTGGTTCTTACACTTTGTGAGTGCATCCTTGCCAGTCCAAGTTGCTACAGACAAATCTGTCTGTCCAATTTAGCCAGTACTGAACTTCTGTTTCACATCAAATTATTTACAAAGGTGATCATGATGAGATGAAAGAAAGGATAAATGTTGAGTTGATACAAGAATGAGTTTTATTTGTTAGCATGTATATATTTATCTGTTTCTTTGCTAACTTCTGATATTTCAAACACAGTGTCATTGCTTAATAACCGTGGTTCATCTCCTCCCGACCCAGCTTTGGTATTTGTTATTTACCTTATAACTCCTTGCTGCTGTGCATTGCAGACTCACAGCCATCACAAGAAGGATGTCTTGCTACAGCGAGTCCTGCAGACCCTGTGGGGTGACCTGCTCTCAGCCGATTGCTGAGAGCTACAATGAGCCGTGTGTGCAGCAATGCCCTGACTCCAGAGCAGTGATCTTCCCCCCACCAGCTGTGGTGACGGTCCCGGGCCCCATACTCAGCTCTTTTCCTCAGGAGAGCCTTGTGGGATCATCAGGCCCGGCCTGGTTGGGGAGTTCCTTCAGTTCCCAAAGCTCGCAGGGCTATGGGGGCTCCTTTGGCTTGGGGGGCTATGGGGGTTCCTTAGGCTATGGGAGCTCACGGAGTTATGGGGGCTCCTTCGGTTTTGGAGGCTATGGGGGCTCCCTGGGCTTGGGGGGCTCCTCTGGGTATGGGGGCCGCCAGGGCGCAGGT